TTTCTTACTTGATTAAGCAATATCATTATGTTTATTACAGCACACATAATAACAAGCAGAATACATGATATGTGTAGATTATTTGGTAGCAATAATCAAGAATGTAAATGTATATGGACAGAAATTAGAAGGTATTTATAAAAATAAAAGACTGCCAAGTAATATTCCATTGTATATATATTTTATATTACTCAGTGATCAAAAAGAATAGAATCTTGCCATTTGCAACATGGATGGAACTAGAGTGTATTATGCTAAGTGAAGTAAGTCAGTCAGAGAAAGACAAATATATGTCACTCCTATGTGGAATTTAAAAAACACAACATATGAACATAGGGGAAAGAAAGGAAAAGTAAGATAAAAAAAACATAGAAGAAAGCAAAACACAAGAGACTCTTAAATACAGAGAACAAACTGAGGGTCTCTGGAGGGGTGTTGGGTGGGGGATGGGCTAATGGGTGATGGGCATTAAGGAGGGCACTTGTTGGGATGAATCGCTGGGTTCTACTCCCGAAACCAATACTACACTGTATGTTAACTAACTTGAATTTAAATTAAAAAAATAAAATAAATTGAAAATAAAAGACTTTTTAAGGAAAAAAAATATATGTATATACTTGCCAAATGACAGCAATCCCATTCCAAGGTATTTACCTAAAAGAAATAAAAAATCATTAGTTTCCTAGGGATACTATAACAAATTACCACAAACTTGGTGGCTTCAAACAGCAGAAACTTATTCTTTCATTCTGGAGGCCAGAAGTACAAAATCTATGTGACAGCAGGGCTCTCCTTCCTCCAGAGACCCTAGGGGAATATCCACTCCATGCCTCTTATAGCTTCTGATGGTTGCAGGTTAACTTGGCTTCCTCAGCTTGTGACTCTCTGCCTCTTGTCTTCTCTTCACCTTCTGCTCTGTGTGTATCTTCTCTGTGTATCTCTTATAAGACTATATCACTGGATTTAACACCCACTTATACAATCCAAGCTGACCTCATTTTCAGATCCTTGTAAATTATATCACCAAAGACCCTTTTCCCAAAAAAGGTAACATTCACATATTCTGGGGATTAGAACATGGACATATTTGGGGGGGGCATCCAGCCCACTACACTTACTTTCACTCAAAAATCTATACACAGAAATTTATAGCAGCTGAATTCATAAATTCCAAATACTGGAAACAATCCAAGTATCCTTCAAGGGATAAATGAAGCAACCATAGTACATGCCTACAATGTAATACTGCCCAGCAATAAAAGGAAACAAATTATTCATACATGCAACAACATGGATAAATCTCAAATGCATTATGCTAAGTAAAAGACTCAAAGCTATATACTGACTTCATTTATTTGATATTCTGGAGAAGGCAAAGGGATATGAATAGACATTTTCCAAAGAAGACATACAAATGGCCAACGGGAACATGAAAAGGTGCTCAACGTTACTAATCACTAGAGAAATGCAATTCACAACCATGATGAGATATTATGTCACCACTCTTAGAACGGCTATCAAAAAGATAAGAAATAGCAAATGTTGGCAATGATGTAGAGAAAAGGAATCCTTGTGCACTGTTTTTGGGAATGTAAATTGGTATAGCCACAACGGAAAACAGTATGGAGGTTCCTCGAAAAATTAAAAATAGAATTACCATATGATCTAGCAATTACACTTTTGAGTATTTACCTGAAGGAAATGAAATCATTATCTCAAAATGGTTTCTGCACCCCCATGTTCATTGCAGCATTATTTACAATACACAAGACATGGAAATGAAATAAGTGTCCATGGAGAGATGAAGGGTAAAGAAAATGTGATACACACACACACACACACACACACACACACACACACACACACACGTCATTTATATATACAGAGAGAGAAATATATAGATATAGGTGTAATGGAATTTTATTCACCAAAAAAAGAAGGAAATCCTGCTACTTGTTACAACATGGGTAGACCTTGAGGGTATTACACTAAGTGAAATAAGTCAGAAAGAGAAAGACAAATAGTGGATGATCTCACTTATATGTGGAATTGAGAACAAAAACAAAAACAAACGCCAAATTCAGAAACAAAGCAGATTGGCAGTTGGCAGAGGTGGGGGATGGGGGAGGTTGGCAAATTTAGTGAAGGGAATCAAAAGGTACTAACTTCCAGTTATAAGCTAAATAAGTCCTGGGGATGTAATGTACAGCATGATTACTATAGTTAACACTATGGTACTGCATATTTGAAGGTAGCTAAGAGAGTAGATCTTAAAAGGTCTCGCTCATCACAAGAAAAATAATTGTAACAATGTGTAGTGATGGATGCTAACTCGACTTAGTGTGGTGACCATTTCACAATATCTACAAATATCAGATTATTATGTCGTGCACATAAAAGTAATACAATGTTGTGTGTCAGTTATATCTCAATTTTAAAATATAAAAAATACACTATACAGACAGACATAACAGTTGTTTCCGGGGGTGAGCAGTGGTGCAATTGACTGCAAAGGAGAAGCATGGCAGACTTTTGAGGAGCAATGAAACTTTTGTATCTATTGAGGTGATGACGCAAGTCAATGTATTTGTTAAAGTTCACAGAACTGTGCTCAGAATGGATTTTCTTTGTGCAAATTTAAAACCTTATGCCTAAATTAAAAAGAGATGCTGGAGCTGGGACTCTGCAAGCTGCATTTTCCTTCATCCAGTGGTCTGGCAGAGAAGACGTTTCCAAATTTCCAGTTTGGTTCCATTTTCCCATACTCCTCCAACAGTTTTGTCGCACCCTTTCAAAGATCCCACATCTGCCCACCTCTCTTCTCAGTGATCTGAGCATCCTTCTCCAAGGTTCTAGATTGTCAGTGCCTGACCTCTTCTTATCTTTGTTCCCCCAGCCCTGAGGATGGTAGCTGCCTCCCTCACTTCCTATCTCTGCACTAACTCTTGTTCTCTTTCATCTTTTCTAAACCCTACTTAGTTTCTTTTTTTTTTCCCATTTTTTAAAATATATTTATTTGTTTTGAGAGAGACAGAGACAGTGTAAGAGGGGATGGGTAGAGAGAGAGGGAGAGAGAGAGAGAATCCCAAGTAGGCTCTGCACTGTCAGAGTGCAGAGCCCAACACAGGGCTGAGACTCACAGAACCATGAGATCATGACCTGAGCTGAAACCGAGAGTCAGACACTTTTTTACTTAGCCAACTGAGCCACCCAGGTGCCCCTACTTGGCCAGTTTCTTATATTCTTTCCATTAAAATTATTGACGTGGTGTCTGTTTTACTGACTAAACGTTGATAGGAAACCTACGTCTTTCCTATGCCCTACAAGGTCCTACATGATATGATGTTCCCTCCTCATTACTTCTCAGACCTCGCTTCCAACTTCTCTTTCTCCTCATTCACTGATTCACAACAAATAAAGCAGATAAAGAAACATGTTAAATCTCACCATAGAAATGTGGTCAAGGGGTGCCTGAGTGGCTCAGTCCATTGTCAAACTCTTGATTTCAGCTCAGTTCATGATCTCACAGATAGTAGGATCAAGCCCCACACTGAACTCTTCACTGACAGCACAAAGCCTACTTGGGATTCCCTGTCTCCTTCTCTCTCTGCTCCTTCCCTGTTTTCTCTCTCTCTCTCTCTCTCAAAATAAATAAATAAACTTAAAAAAAAAAAGAAAAAGAAATGTAGCCATCAGAATTCAACGTGTGGAGAACCCCAGTGGACAAATAACTTAGTTCCTCCAACAAATAAATTGCAAAAGGGAAAAAAAAATAATGGAGGGCAACGTCTAGATTAGAAGAGCCTTAAAACATATAAACCAGCAAAAACAAAAAACATATAAACCAGCAGCAATGTGGAGACCTAATCTGAGCCCTGATTTTATAGACACCAAACATACACATATATAAGATAATGGAGGAATTTGAACCATGACTGGATGTGAGATGAAGGAATTAAGAAATTAATGTTAATTTACTTTAGTTGTTAAATGGGACTGTGGTTATGTTTAAACATCCCTCCCATATACGGGGAAATATTTATGGATCTATAGATGTTACAATACACCTGGGCGGTGTAAGAGATGGCACATAGGTGTAATAACATTGACCATAAAAGGATCACGTGTTGAAGCCAAGTGTCTTCATTAGTCCGCTGGGACGGCTGTAACAAAATGCCACAGACCAGGTGGCTTATAAACAACAAATATTTATTTCTCAGTTCTAAAGGCTGGGAAATCCAAGTTCAAGGCACCGGCAGATTCACATCTGGTGGGGGCCCCTTTCCTCACAGCAGTTCTTCTCACTGTGGCCCCACATGGCAAAAGAAGCAAGGGAATTCTCTCCACCCTTATTTGAAAGGGCACTGGTCCCATTCAGGAGGGGATGACCCTTATGACCTAATCACCTCCCCAAGTTCCCACCTCCCAAGACCATCACTTTGGGGCTTAGGTTTCAATATACAATTTTTTGGCTAGGCAGGGTAGGGTGGGGATGGAGGGAGGGCACACAAACTTTCCAACATGTAGCACCAAGCAATGGGTAAAAGGGATCCATTTTACTATATAAAGACTAGGCTGTTTGTATGTTTTAACACGGTCCATTTGTCTTCAAAATCTGAGGGTCTGCCATGTGAGGCAGTTAGGTCAAAGAACGGCTCACAGGTCTCTGGAACTCATCAGAAGCCATTGTCAAGAAGCATATAATGCAGTGGTTTCAACTGTAGGCTCTGGAAACCAACACCTGAGTCTACTATTGTCTATCTCTGTGACCTTGGACTTCACTTTTCCAGGCCTCTGTTTCTTCAGAGGCAACGTGGAAATACCAATGGTATCTCCTTCGTGGAGTTGTCATAAAGATTAAATGAATTAATACATATAAAACACTGTCTTAGAATATCAACTATCCCAATTTGAGTAAGCACTCAAAACATGTCAACTGTTAGTGTCATTATTATTACATAGGGAAACAAGTTGAAATGAATCACCAGGGTCTCAAAACACATGTATCCAAAATATGTTTTTAATCTTGATGAAGTTCACAAATGATACAACATTGAGATTTCCTTAAATAAAGTCTACAGTCATGTTCTTAGACAACAAGGCAAAGCATCACCATTACCACATGTCCCCAGAGGCCACAAAGGCAATGACTTATTGTCCCCCTAAGGTTTGCAGAGCTGCTGTGATCAACAGGATAGCTCTCAAAGAACCAGTTTGCTACCAGATAAGCCAACGATAGATGCCACCACCACACTGACACACACAGAGTCAAATATAAAAAGGATACACGATACATATGGAATTAGCTTATTTTGCATTCACTTTCATTCCTTGTAAGTGACAAAGGTGCTTTTTTCAGTATCTATTGGGATGCAAACATGTATATCTTCCATGGGGCCTTCCCACCAAGTGTTGTCAACAGAAATTAACAGAAGTGGTGAGTTCAGCTTCATGGTGACCTGAGATGGGAAAAAAATAAAATAAAAAAAGAAGACAAAGAAGGAAGAAGGAAGAGGAAGTAGAGAAGGAGAAGAAGGAGGTGTTGGCGAATAAGAAGGACAAGAAGGAAACAACCACAATTATTATAAAAAGAACACAAATGTACAGGAAAACAGCATTTACAACCTATAGGTATGAGATGTAGACAGACTTTTAAGGCAAATGACGGGAAAAAAAGCAATTATCATTTGGCAAGCATTTTATTTCTCATTTCTCTTCTCAGAGAGATGATGCTGCATGTCTGCAGCCTGTGTCAACGCTCTGATTTCAGGCTGAGTTGTGGAAGAATCTCACCACTGAGAAGGAAGCATGTAATTGGAAAAAAGGGATCTGAAGACCCTTCCCAGGTCCAGTAGGTTTCATAATGTGGCTCATAACCCCCAAATCCCCTCCCCTCCGACCCAACGGAAAAGGGCAGTCACCTTCTTCCTGGAGTCACTGAGCTGCTCAGGCATGAAGGTCCCTGCGGCGACGGCCAAAGGCTTCGGAGCCCACGTTGGTGGGCACAAAGTTGTTCTTCACAACACCTCCAGATCTGCTCAGCAAGCCTGCCAGCCGATGGGTCACACAGGTGGCAGTGTTGCAGGATCTCTTCTGGGCAGTGACGCTGATTTGCAGGATGGAGAAAGAAGAGGGCTGTCAGTGAGAGGCGAGGGGCAGGAGCCTGCCCCTGAGGCCTTCATAAAGAGAATTTCAGCTCTTCGACATACCGCTTAAGAATAAGTGTTTCTCCTAAATGCACTTATCAAAGCTGTTAGGAGAAGTGGCCTGGCAGCTTTTGCTAGGAGCACTGCCCAAAGACCTTCGTGAAAAAAAACCCAGTGCCAATGTGATGAGCACTGGCTGTTGTATGGAAGTGTTGCATCACCATATCATACACGTGAAGCTAATATTACGCTGTATGTCAACTAACTGGAATTTAAATAAGAACTTTAAAAAAAAAAGAAAAAGGAAAAACCCCGTGTCAAGCCATGAGGCATGTACTGAAATCAGCACTTACCGTCACATACAGTCTCTTTAGAACCAGGATGAAGTGGTCACCAAAGGCCCAGCCCAATCCCAAGACATGCAAGGAGCACAGAGAAACCATAGAGCAGCCACAGGCACCATCAAAACCACTTTCCATGGGAAAGGAAAATTCCCTGATGTCTTACCTGAAAGAGGCTGTGAGAAGAGGGAAACGGCATCCTCCCCCAGAAGTGTTTACCTGTTTCTCAGCACACCTGTTCTTGATGGTGGAACTGGTTCACAAGGACCACTCACCAAGCCCTCTACCCAGCTACCCTGAGGCTAACGCCACTTTTAAGCATAGGTTCTGGGTACTTTCAAGCCTTGGACACGACCAGAGTAATGACCACCACAGTGCAAATCCTTTTAGAAAATAGGTTTATTCATCAATGATGAAACATGAAGGATGCAGCAGAAATTGGGGACTCTACCATGAAATCCTCTGGGATCTCAAGAAGCTTCCCTCACTCTTGCCTCTAACCTGGCCTATGAGTCCTGCTCTCTTCCCTTCCATCCTGAGGTCCCCCATATTCTCTGTGATAAGCAAAGCTACCAATACCAGCTTGAAGAGCAATCAAAGTGGAATCTGCATGCATTTAGTTCAAAAATGGGAGCAAGAAGGGAAATCAGGAAGGAGTGGAAGGAGTCTGGTTGCCATCCTGGGGCACCCCAAAGCGGGGTTACTGGCCCTTCTCCAAGCTGCTGGCTATGTCCCTTTTCTTGCCAGGTGTTTCAGCCCCGAAGCCGATGCCAGAGAATGTATGAAAGTTGTTCAGGTCCTTCGAGTATGCGCCCAGCACACAGGTACTCAGATTACTGCACCGCTTAGCTCGGAAGCTGTCCAGGCTGCAGGGAAAAGACATGCCAGACAATACCATGCGCCAGGCCCGCCCCTGAGGGCAGTCATGCAGAAAGTTAGACGAGGGAGGGGCACCTGGAGCAGAGGCAGGAGGGGCAGGCAGGAGGGCAGCTCACATATCCTCCATTAGGAGAACTCCGAGGCTTGCTGAGCCAGGGCAGCGTGGGGCAGGGTTGCAGCAGGGAAGGGGTGCCCTTTCCTAGCCTTCCGCATGCTTCTCAGTCCCTGCTCTGCAGAGAGGTCCTTAGGGTAGATGCAGGTGCAGCACATGCCAGGCAGTGCCGGGGCCGGGCCAGGGGCTGGCGTGAGCTCCAGGCTCAGGGGACACGGGGAGGTGGGGCTGGGGAAGGGTGTCTGGCCCCATGACAACATGCACGTCTCCACAGATCCTACACATCTCAAGCCCCCAGACCTACCTCAGGTACTGCTCTACCTGACCCCACCCTCTGCAAGGCCTTTGGCTTCACCTTGCAAATGTGCAATGAAGGCTCCTTGTGGGTGTGAAAGAACAACACACACAGGTTAAATTTCTAAAACATCCTGAGATATGCTGAGTCCATCCCCTGGCTTCACACTTACCGGTCCCAAGTCAGCCAATGCTGGGAGTTTCCTTAGGGCAAGACAAATTCCCCCCGAGTAAGTGATTCCGTACCTCCCCATTTCATTTCCTAAAAGCTTTCAGGAATGTGTCTTTTTGTCTAACCACAGTCTCTTCAGCTACACCTGGACCTCTGTCTTCCTCAGAGCTTGAGAATGACTGGGCCCTAGGGCCTGATGAACAACCACAGCCTGCTGGCGCCCTGGCCAGATGTTGTATTTCCTGGGGTATACGCCAGGGCAGGGTGGGAGCCTTACCTGGAGCCCTCTGTCTCCTCCTGCTCCTGCTCCTGCTCCAGTTCATTTGTCTTCCCCTGCACATAGGCCTTCACCAGGGCAGCCAGCAGGAGGCGCCCTTCCTTCTCACTGAGTGTGGTGGGGTCTGGGAGGCTCTCCAAAGCAGACCTTCAGGGGGGAAGCAAATCCAAGAGAGGCTCTGAGCCCCTGACTGCCTCTACCCCGTGACAAGTAGCAAGGCTTCCCGGTCCCTGTGACCTACCCTGAGGATGTGCCCCCTCCCCCGACTCCCAACCCACAAGGCCCAATCTGAGGTCCACCTGAGGGTCTTAATGCACCAGGAGCCTTGCTGCTGTGACCTCAGAGGCACAGAACTGCCTCAGCCCAGGGGCAGTAGAAGGGGAGTGTTCTGTGGCTTCCGGCTGTCTCACCTGAATGGTGCCGCCTGGAGGCTGCCTGCCTGGCACAGGACCAAGATGCTGAAAGCCAGAAAGGGGGAGGACTTCCCGAAGCCCATGATGCCTCTCTGTAAAGAGAGAATGATATTACCACTGCGCCAAGACCGGCCAAGGCCTGGGGCCCACAGACCTAAGTGCCTGCTCTGCCACGCAGGTCTTGTGGCCTCAGATTACCCCACCTCCCCATACCTCCATTCATTTGCCAGATGGGCTGCTGTGAATCTCAAAAGATACAGTGCAATGAATGGCTTTGTAGAGCAGAAACAAGTGTCTCAGGGTGTGGTGGAGTTCTGTGGAAATCGGGGAGAAGCCACAAACGAGTGCATGCATGCACACAAACCCACACCTTCCTTCCGCCCTTTGCAGAAAACAAGCGGGGACCCACCCTAATGTCAATTTGTTCTCCCATTGCTCTAGTCTTCTCAGGAACTGAGAAATCTAGGACCACCTACCCCTTTCTTTTGGACTTGGCACTAACGCATGGGACAGGAAAGCAGGAAGGGTACCTTGGAAAGGAGCACTGGTCTATCCACCCAGTATCTGGGTTTGGATTGGAGGAAGATTTTAAATGTGCAGTTACCGGTGTGTCAGGGCTCTGCTGGCCCAGCCCGTCTACGCTGGAGCGCAGTTTGGCAGTGGGTGCTGGGCGCCAGCATCTGGAAGTGAGCCCCCTTGTCCTGCGCGGCTGACTGCACAGTCGCAGGTCCCCTCCGTGCCCCAGGGACGCTCGTGGGCTGGCGGCGCCTCACAAGAAAGCTCAAGGCTGCACCGTCCCGAGAATCAAACATGATCCCTCAGGACACAGACCGCGCAGGGCATTCCCAGACCAAACTCGAGCAGGATTCTGCACGCCCAGGGGTTCTAAGAAGGGGCCGCAGACCCGCCTACCTGAGCTCGCGGAGCTTCCAGCGCCCAGGCAAGCCCTGAGAATGCTTGAAGTTCCATCTGTGCTAATTAGAAGAAAATGCTCTCCTCTCAACCGCCCCCCTTCCCCTGAGCGGGACAGAGAGCTAGGAGCACCTGCCGTAGGTGGGCCGCGATGCCCGTGAGAGGCAAAGGAAAGGCAGACAGATGGAGCAAACTAGATGAACTAATCCAGAGGCAAGTTATTAGAGTGGGCAGAGGGGGGAGTTCCTCACCTGGAGACGAGTTTCTGGAGAGCGCGAGCGGCCGGTCCACCCCGTTGGACACAACGCCTGCTGCGGGCGTCTTCCCCGCGGAGCTCTCGGCTCTTATTCCAGCGACAGTGGGAGGGGGGTCCCCACGAGTCCGCGCGGCCAATCCAAAGTGGCCAGGACCGACCCAGCTCCAGTGGCGTCATTGCTCGCTCTCCCTGCACTGGTTCTCTAGGGAGGGGAACCATCCGCTCTGGCTGTCTTTTGCAATGAGGTCATTGCTTGGAGAGCGGGAGGGCAGGGAGGGGTGGAGAGCTTTCGACGACGTCCAGAAAATGAGGGCCAGTGGAGGAGAGCTTGGAGTCAGCCACAGTGAGGGACCAGAGCTTCTCTCACTGTCTTGGTGCCTGAACTCTAGTCTTGAAGCCCCTCTTGCTATGCCAGTACGGACCCCATCTGGCCACCTGGACCCCGAGGAGTCCTGGATTCTAAAAAGGGATCTCAGCCGAAATAGCCCACTGTGAAGGAGTTGGATGGAGCAGGGAGGGGCTGGGGGAGGGAGGGAAGAGGGGCCCTGAAACATTGATCTCTTTGGACCACCTTGGGTGCCCCTGAGATAACCTCCGCACTTTCCTCACTCCCCAGGCCACCTGCGCCCCCGCACCCTGCACCCCTCAAAGTCGTTTTGCTTCTAGTCTGGCAGCCAGCCAAGCCTCCTTCGCCTCACTTCTCTGGGACCGGTAGGAGTGGTCAGGAGGACTGGGGAAGGGGCTAAGCTGCCACTGGCTACAAGTAGTGCTAGGCATTTCCCTCCTACTCCAGAAACCTCGACTGTGGGTTCAGCATGCCCCCCTCTAACCCAGGACCCTGCACTGCGGCGCCGCCGGAGTTGGTTTACACAGCTGTCCTGTGCTTCTGTTTTCTGTTTGCTAAGCTGCTGGGCTGGGACAGCCTGTGCCCAGGTTTCTGCCCGTCTCGCTCCATACCCCTGCCCCACTTCTCTGAAGCGCTTCATTGTCGAGTGGGCGCTCGTCCTGCGCGGTCCCGCAAAGGAGAGCCCGTGCTGCAAGCCTTAAGGGCAGACTTCAGACTTTCACACACGCGCCCCTCTCAGCTACAGGCCGCTGGTGAGCGCGCTCACACTGCCCGCGGGGCGCACGTCCCGGGCTCATACACCTGGTCCCCAGCCACCAGCTCTGCCTTTCACATTCACACACGGACACTTCTGTCAATAGCCAGCACTTGCTGCAACAGACGTGCCTTCGCGAGCTGTTTGCAAGTGAGCGCGCGCGCAACAACCCAAACCAACTTCTCCCAGACCCGAAAGCAGCCCCCAGAGTTTCTGCTTTAGGAAACAGGCACGTTTTACACACACACACGGGTGCACACTGTTCCCCAAGCACGCACATCCGGACGCATGGACTCAGCCTCTACCTTCTTTCTTGAGGAAAGGCAGTTTCTCGGAGTCGGCGCTGCGGGTACTTACAGCACCGGGCGAGGGGAAAAGATCCCGGGCTCTTACGGAAAGGAGCGCAGAGTGGACTGGTAGGTAGAGGCAGTGGGGAAAAAGTGAAGAAGTATCACCCACCCTCCGGACCTTAGGCTAGCCCTTTCTTGGGATGGGGGCTGTGCCTCCCCAAAGCGCCCTCGGGCCCCTCCTAACTTCGGGTAGCCTCTAGAGAAGCCTCGCCCAGAGGCTCGCGGCATCCCACCCGCTGGTGCTTCCTGCTTCTGCAGATCAGAAAGGCGCTCAGGGGCTGCCCTGTGGGTCTGTCTTTTGCTGTTGCAGGACCCTGCCTTCGGAGCGACGACGGGTTGTCCTCTAGCACCTGGGCAACAAAAACTCCAGGCAACATCCCAAAGAATCCTGACCCTCAAAGCCAGCCGCTCTTGCGGGGCCTTCTTGCTACGCCAGCAGGCAGAGTGCACAGTGGCTTCATGACCCAGAGTCGCCCCTAACCCCTGAACGCAGCGTGGCACCTACAACGTGGCCCAGGGCCATAGCGGACGCGGAGGGGGGACAGGGCCCTTCCTCTTTCCAAAGCCCTGCAAATACGACAGACCTCTCGGTCGCTGTCCCCGGATTCCAGCAGGAGTGGAAAGGCACGGCTGGGAGACACTACCTGACGCCTCTGCCCTCCACACCGCCTCTTTCCGGACCACTGCCACCCGTCTCTCAGGTCTGGCAGAGCATGTAGCCCGCTCTAGCATTTCGGGGTTGGACCATCCCCCACCCCCACCCCTGAGCTCTGGGGACTGGGAGAAATAGCTGGGCCCGTGTCGGGAGAAGGTGAGGGGGGAGGGGTCAGAGAGAAGATCCGTAAGGCCCCGGACCCTAGAGCCCCAAGCTGCTCAGCTTGGACGAAGTTAGTGGCTCGCTGAGCGGGGGAAGCTGGCGAGGCGCGCGGGAGGAGTCAGGTCGGGGTTTGGCCTCCCCGGGAGGCCCACAAATATGAATCTGGGGGCAACTTTGAATCCTTGGAGTTGAGGGCTGGAGAGGGCTGAACTGGGATCAGCTGCCTGCACTCTAACAGGAGTGTGCACCCGACCCAGAGGCAGATCTTAACACCAATATACCTGGATCCGCGCTTTGAACATCTTCTTGCGAGCTCCAATAGGGCCGGCTATTTTAGCTCCAAGCACCCAGAATTATTTGACATAATCTTCTTCCTCCTGTCTTTGCACAGTACCTGGCGCACAGTAGGTGTGCAGCAAATGTCCAGTGAAGGGGGAGTGAGCAAGAGGATGAATGAGTGAAGAGTTCCATGGGTTCATTACAGTAAGAGTCGGCAGTGAATTCGCAGCCAAGTTGAACTAAATAGACCCAATTTAGATCCATTAGATGGCAAAACAGATCCTTGGTCCAAAGACGCACGTCTTTATTGAATGGAAGGAATCAGTGTCCTGGAATCTGTTATGAGAGCAAGTACTGAGGGCTTCTTCTCTTCAGAAGCTCACCAGCTCGAGAAGCACACAAGGCAGTTTTCCTCACCCCGTCCTTGTATTATATCAGTGAGTGAATGGAAGAAAAAGTCAATACAATAACTTGCTTTCTAAATTGAGAAAATTACATTTTGACTTCCCTGGAACTGTTCTGAGCTCCAAGGCATCTCCAATCAAACCAGCTGGCATAAAGATTTATAAAGAATAATTTCATAGAAATTTCTTGTGCTTTTAAATTGTCTCAAGTATTTTGATGCTCAGTTTAACTATCTTATGTAATTACTTTTAAATTTTGAAACTGCTAGTCTTACAATTTTAGAGAGAAAGAGATTCCATGTACTAACCTTCTTGAAGTTTATTTTCATTTACTTTGACCTACTCTGTGTTCTTTACAAATTTCCTAGGAGAAATATTCCTTAGAAGAAAGTTTATTCATGCTACAAATATTTATTGAGGGCCTACTATGTGCCAGACATTGTTCTAGGTACTAGCAATTCATGGTGGACAAAACAAAAACTCATGCCTTCCTGATGCTTGTATTAAAATGATGTATTTAACAGAAATACTTGAATATCACCCTCTACCCAAATAAAACATATCCCTACCCTATTTACATTCTCCCAATGTGATAATATCAGATATGCATTTGACAGAAGGATATTCAGGGTTTACATTATTAAGCCACGTAAATATGATTTATTCCCAGCTGAGGCACATAGTGTACTTTGATTATATTTCCTTATACATTTCTTTCACTTTTCATCAGGAATTCCCTCACTTTCCACTTGTTTAATTTTCTTTCTGCTCATCTCAGTTTATTCCTTTTTCCTCGATCCTATTTGTTCCTCATTCTCAGTTTCCTTTCTCACTTTGGTGGAGCACATTCACCATTATATGATAGATAGATTTTTCTGGAGATGGAATTTTAGGTTGGAAATCATTTTCACTCAGATTTTGAAAATATTGTCCATTGTTTTCTATTTTCTTTCTTTCTTTCTTTCTTTCTTTCTTTCTTTCTTTCTTTCTTTCTTTCTTTCTTTCTTTCTTTCTT